GAGGGACGGGAGGGACCGTCCGAACTTTACTGTTTGGGGCGGTTCCCGGTGGAATTTTTTGATGAAATTTTTTGAGCATGTTCCTCATCAAGTCTAGTTTGTCCATACCAAATTTCAGCTCAAAATTCGACCGGGAAGGCAGTCAAATAAATTCTTGAAACTTACTGCACTTTATATATGCGCAGAATGTGCAGTAAGCTTCAAGAATTTATTTGACTGCCTTCCCGGTCGAATTTTGAGCTGAAATTTGGTATGGACAAACTAGACTTGATGAGGAACATGCTCAAAAAATTTCATCAAAAAATTCCAGCGGGAACCGCCCCAAATAGTAAAGTTCGGACGGTCCCTCCCGTCCCTCTGGAGGGACCTGATCTTTTCTGTATGTATGTATGTATATATATATATATATATATATATATATATATATATATATATATATATATATATATATATATATATATATATATATATATATATATATCGGGGTGACTCATGGAAGCTTTGATTGTAGTGTTGACCTTTGGTGTTGGAGTTTTGAAGCTTGAAGTTTAAAGTGTCTCAAAACTAGCTCTTGAAAAAGATAGATGGAAAAGTGTACACTTTCAAGCAAAGGTGGAAAGTGGGCTTCTTTAACTTTCCCACACTTAAACTCCTTGCAAAGTTTGAAGCCTATAAATATGAATCACTCATCACTTGATATTAAAAGGTGAAGGAGAATAGGGGAACTCTCGCGCACACATGAATTCCGGCTTCTAGTTCAGAACCGAAAATTCGCACCCCCCCTGCGCGGGCGACCTGCGGACACGATAGTCGTAAAATTTAGCAGGTCTCAAAAGACAATTTTGCCCCTCTTTTCTTTCCTTTTTTTTAAAACTTTCTTTCTCGATAGCTTATGTTTGTTTATTAATTTTATGGGTAAGTCGCCAAACCGTTTGGCGACTTATAAGTCGCCAAACGGTTGGGCGACTTATAAGTCGCCAAACGGTTTGGCGACTTACCCCGACCATAGTTAAGCCCAACAGTATATCCGTAAATACTTTTAACTCAACCCTATTTTCATAAATACTTAATTAATTAGCATTAATACAGAAAAAAACTCGGTAATTGAGACATAAATAAATGAGGAGAATAATTGAATTGATTACAGATTAATTCAAGTAGTCTGTCTTGATGATTTTAAACACAAACTAATGATAAAATAATGATTTGAATTAATCAATGAATATTAGGTATAGTTTTTTCATGAGGAGTGAGGACCGTGGAGATTATATGCATTAAAGTATGCTGATTATTTATTAGGGGATGACATTCAAGTGCTTATTATTAATGAATCTAATACATAAATATTCTGTCCTTGTGACTTCGACACTAATTTTATCAACTCATTTAGATCGATTCGATGATTCCTATAGGACGTGGCTAACGAGAATTAATTAATTATTGGAGACAGACAAATTGGTAAAACAGCCGTAACTGCCCAGTTTTGCTAAGGGAATAACCCGTTTTCACCTTGAATTGGTCAAAATATGCAGATTTTCTTTTAAGTCCCCCTAAACTTAGAATAGTCTATTAGAAAATGGCGTGCAAACTTTTACTCCTCAAAACAGGAGTAATTTTTACATTAAATAAACTTTATCATCTGTATATCTTGTAAAACGGCCATATTTTAACAAAGAATTTGAGATAGATGAAGTATTCATTCAACGTCAATAATTTCGACAAGTGCAATCACTTTAATCATTTTAAGTTTCAACTACTTGTAGTCAATCTAACCGCACCCTATTTATGCTTATTTCAAAGTAAGATGATGTCGGAGATACTTATTTAAGAAGAATCAATATCACCCATATGAGTTCTTATTTTAATTTTTTGTTTTTTGTTGTGATGGAAAACTCATATGGGGTGAAAGGAATAAGGGACTACTCTATGTTGAGCGGGGGAATTGTTCAAGACACATCTCACATCAAATAAAAATGAATTACTAATCTACACTAACCGGAAGAAATGTTTGTATTATACTACAGGTTATCTTAGCAGCAGGAACAGACACATCGGTTGCAACAATGGAGTGGACACTCTCACTACTTCTAAACCACCAACAAGTCCTAAAGAAGGCACAAAAAGAAATTGATGACAAGGTGGGATATGAGAGACTAGTTGAAGAATCGGATATGGTTGAACTCCCCTATTTGAATTGTATAATGAAGGAAGCAATGAGAATGTACCCTGCTGGTCCTCTGGCAGTCGCACACGAGTCCTCAGAGGAGTGCACTGTTGCAGGCTATCGTATCCCAAAAGGAACAATGCTATTGCTCAACTTGTATTCCATCCAGAGAGACCCCAAGTATTGGGTTGAGCCGGAAAAGTTCAATCCAGAAAGATTCAAAGGCTTAGAAGCGGTTAGTAGTGCTAAAGAACATGGGTATAAATGGATGCCTTTTGGGTATGGTAGGAGAGGCTGCCCGGGAGAAACACTGGCATGGCACGTTGTTGGGTTGTCATTAGCATCGGTTATCCAGTGCTTTGATTGGGAAAGACTTGGAAGTGAATTGATTGATATGAGTGAAGGAACTGGTTTGACTATGCCCAAAGCAACGCCTTTGATGGCTAGATGCAAGACGCGGTCTTTTGTCACCAACCTTCTTTCGACCTATTCAATATAAGTTTCTTATGTTTTTCTTTGTGTAAACATGATTTTCATTTGATATTATTGTCATGTACTATTGTTGAATCGCACATCATCATATCAGATTGGAGTCTGGTGTAGTTACCCCACTATGGTGTAATTATTTGCTTGAACAGATGAAATCAAATTAATAATTTTATTTTTGTGATAAAAGCCATTCAAATATAGATCATGTAACATTTGATTCCTCTCACTTTACATGCATAATAATGTGAACCGTGATGTAACTTAAAAGGGCTATTGTAAAAAATTGGGTTGCACTTTTATTTACCATGGTATTGCAGTTTTCACAATGAAATTCAATTGGCTAAATAAGTGCTAGCTATAAACTTTAAACAGTATACTACACCAAAAATGTGAAAAATAAAATAAGAACTAAAATACCGTCCCGAAAAGGTGTCAACTTTGACTTTCGCGTGGATTAATAAAGTAAAAATTATGTGGTTGAAATTTGTGCAGAGAAGAGAGAATTAACTTTAGTCACATATTCCTTACTTTAAATGGAATGAAAAATCTTTTTGGAACATCCAAAAATGGAAATTTGACAAACCTTTTCGGGACGGAGGGAGTATAAACTAAAAAAAGGAGTCAAATATTGAATCATAGCCATTGTCAATGTTAATCGTTTAAATTATATTGCTACAAAACAAAATAGACACATGAAGTAGGTTTAAAATAGACATATTTAACATGTACAAATCACCGCACCATTTATGTGTAGAGTCTGGGTATGCTCGATAAACCCTAAATCACATGGAAGAAAAACGAATATACCTGATAAACCTCCATTTTTAGCATTTCATAATGTTTAATCTATAATAGCCTTGGTTCATCACATATTTGTTGCACTAATGAAGATTAGTTGACACCATCTTCTTAATCGCTAGCGTTGAACTATTGTGTAAGGATCTGTTTGATTTAGGGCCCAACAAATTCTTACAAAACAGGTCAACGAAGTTGTCATCAAATCAGTTAATTTATACAACTAACATTAGAAGGTAGTAACGGGACAGAGAGGTGAAGGGAATGTTATCAAAATTAGGTGAATTTAGTCTTAAATAAAAAGATGGCTTGATATATAAACATCTTCTCATCTATGGATTTCAAAGGAAATGAAGGAAATAAAAAATACTTCATCCGTCCCGCTAAGATTATCTCATACAAAATTTGATAACATTTGAGTGATTCCAAACCCTTTTTACTTTATTCTCATTTATTAATTCAATATAAACCAATTAAACTCACTTTTCTTCACAATCATATCGCCTCTTTTACCAATGTTAAAGGGACTGAGGTAGTAAACAATACTTCCTTCTGCCAATAGCCGCCAATAGTCAAAGCCTATGACTTTAAAGGGAGGGGGGCCAATTTTGACACTTTGATCCGGATTTTAAGGGATTAAAATTTGAGGACAAACTGGAATAATGATCCGCATCCACCAATAATTAAAAAGAAAGTCAAGCTTTTACAATCTGCTAAAGTGAGGAAAAGACAAGCAATGCAGTTATAGTGCATGATGATGGACATTGTCCAAGCAAAGTACACATGGGGAGTGGGGCCTTTGCAACTTCATAAAAGTCATTACAAGCGACCATTTTACAACCAACACCTGTACATTTGAGAGAGGCCTTCGCTAGTTCATCCAAAAAAAAGAGAGAGGCCTTCGCTATTGTGTACGAACCCTGCTATTTTCAGCTGCCCTCACATGGAGAAGTATGGATGGGCTTGAGCATAAAATGGAAATGGTTGGTCACCTTGATTAGGGCGAATGGGATATGCAATCCTTTATATGTATGTTTGGTGATTTTAAAGTTTCACTTCCACATAACGTTTACAATTAGAAATGTGAACTTTGTAACTATATTATGACAAAATAAGATGAGGTGGTCTCTCATGGACTATTAAAACAAGTTGTACTTTTCATAAAAATACCTTGTAAAAATACGAGACGCGTTTGAGTAAAGAACGTTTTTATTTTTATTTTCAGTTAGACCCATTCTAAAGCGTATTTCAAAGATAGCTTGGAGAATGGAGTATATGGGAATAAACTGCTTGTTGCTAAGCATTAGAAGAAACTCAGTTAAAAGATTCAAGTTAGGCTCTTCTCTTTTGATTGGGACGAGAATTTTTAGTAACTACTTTTTTAGACGGACGAAGCTTTGTTTTGTTTTAAGTATCAGTTCCAGCTTACCATGAGACAGTCACACATGAAAGAGAAGCTTGTCATTTTGTCAAACAGAGAAAAACTTGATAATTCCCGTGATCATCAAAATTGGCAATAAAAGTAAGTCATCACATATTTTTACCATTAGCTGTTGGTCTTTCTTGATGATCATAACGAAGAAGCTTATCAAGAAATCGATGGCATGTTTAAGACATGGGAATCCATACTTGAAATCATAACACATCTATGAGAGGTAAAAAAAATGCTTTGTCAGGGGAAAATTTTCTACCTCAGGTGAAACCAAATGCTGGTTATCTGAATTAATAAATCGCGACCAAGGTTATCTTAATTAATAAACCAGACATGCACTTGGCCCACTTTTGAAAATCAATCTTCCTAAGCCAAGGTCGTATATGAACATCCTCAGAATCCAACAAGGACATATATTCCTCAAATTCCTTTTGTGTTGAAGTCATGTAAGCAGCCTTGAATTTCCAGCCCAAATTCTTATCCGCACCCCTAAACTTTGGAACCATGTTATGCCGAAGATGCTCCACACAATATTCATGAAGAGCATGAGAGAAAATATCGCTAACATCACTAAGAATACCTTCATGTTTGTCAGATACAATAAACATGTCAGGTTGGAAGGCTATGCAGTCATGCACTTGACTCAAAAACCAATTCCACGAAGCTTTAGATTCGGAATCACATATTCTGAACGCTAAAGGTACAATATGACCGTTTGTGTCTTGGCCACAAGCTGTTAGAAGTGTCCCCTTATAGTACGCCTTCATAAATGACCCATCAACAATTAAAACAGGTCTGCAAAAATCCCATGCCCGTCGCCAAGGTGAAAGAGACATAAAAAAATTAACGAAACACATCCTCATCACCTATTATTAGAGAAATTGCAGAATTCAGATTTCTCTTATCTAGCATATAAGCCATGGATGGTAGTTTCTCATAAGACTCTGAATCAGATCCAAATTGCCTTTGCATGGCTAGCTTTTGAGCTTTCCATGCTTTCTTATATGACATGGAAATGCCATGGAACACACTCATGTCTTCTCGGATTTGATTTGGTGCATACGGTTTCCTTGAAGCATCCAAATATTTATGGGAGATTAGCTCTGTAATGGTGCGCTACGTTGCTTGTCTATGTTTTCCTTGTCTAAAGCCATTGGAGCATGTATGTGTTGAGTCAAACCTGCAATGAGGGAATATGTGTCACAATGACCGAAATGCCAAACCAAGCATTTCAGCCCAGCTGGTTGCGAGGTTACTTTGCCTAGTGGGAAGTCTCGAGTTCGAAATCCACTAGGCACATAAGGGTTCGAAACTCAATGGAGTAAGTTTCAATCCTGATTACTTCAGGGCCCCAGGAGGCCAGGCCCCCTAGAGTATAAAAAAATGGCTGAAATGCCAAATATGTGGAATTCTAATACAAAAACATAAAGGTAAAATAAAGATAGCATGGGGACACACCTTTTGATCTAAAACACTTGAACACCACCTAACTTGACACCCCCCGACAGCCCATTTACATTTCTCATCACAACAGATAACATGCAATACACCTTTCAAATGGTGACTGAGGTCAGACATAGAATTATATATGGCATAGTTCATGATCTGTGTTGGAGGGTAGTGGGTGATAACTTCAATTATGATGGAAGGATTAAGACTCAGTAGAAACTAAATGAGCAGGAGGTCGGCAAGGGCTCACAGCGGACAATGGACTATGACATAGTTCATCATTGATTCTAATGGGACTTTGAGATTGCCGTGTGACACTGGATTCATATTGAACAAGAGTGTAAGATCGAGTTGGATTCAGATTTTTGGCAACTAAGGATGTTTTTACTTGGACTGTAATTTGCTGGTCTAGTCTGATCTGGTCTGGTCTGAACTGGTCTGGTCTGGTCTGGTAAGATCTAGTTTCTTTGTATTTTATAAATATCCAAGTATGGTCTTGTCTGGTCTGGGACAAATTACAATCAAAGTAAAAACATCCTAATCTTATCATCTTCCTCAGAAGAAACAACATATGGTGAACTACAAATATCAAGTATAGTAATTTGCGTTGCAGGCACCATGCAAGGATTATAACCATCAATTGAGAATTCAAACACAATGGGTACTAGCTGAAATCAGTCTGAAGAACCGAAGAACCTTAAGGTTGAGGAAAAAACAAAAAGTGGCTTCATCGTTGATATACACAGGTGGAAGGCAACCATCAACCATATAAGATAACTTGAAGTGATTTATTCCATTGTAAGAATCACTTAATATGGAAGATAGTTGCTCTATAAAGTCTTTGTATGTAGATGAGTAAAGCACACACTTGAATAACAAAGGTGAGGTTACTGTTGAAGACTTGAAGCTATAGTCATTGGTCCAACTTCCACCCAACTTGAGCATAATCATAACAATGGAATCCATATGGATAACTAGAGGAACAAAAACAATATGACAACTCCTTTCAAAAACAAACAATATGACAACTATGAATAATGTTTATGCCAAAATTATGTCATTAAATTCCAACTCAATACACCAAACAGATCATCCCAGCAACAAGTCACAAGAGTACAACCCTGACTGATAATAACATAGATGTAAACCTAAGACTATATTTTCCAGATTTCAACACAGACATGGTACATGATTTTAGGTTTCGAATTATACAACAATGACATTTAACATAAAAAACACTAAAATACATGAGTCATGTGGTTATCTTCTTCTACAACATCCGATAGTGAAGAAAATGAATAATGAAGAAAATGATAAACGTATTAGTTGATCATTTGATCATTACCAGAACAATTGCAGGACTTCACCTCACGAAATGTGTTTGGTCGTAAATTATGATAGACAGAGAAAAGATGAGATATGGCATAAGTGTTTGGTTGGATACAAGAAACACACAGTGAAAACAGGAGATAATAATCAGCAGCGTAAAAAAAGGGAAAAGCAAAGAGACGATCGTAACTGAAAGACAAAATTCGGAAGAGAAAGAAATGGGGAGAAAAAACGGTTATGCGTACTCAGATTGGTAGGGACTATGCAGGGGCAACTTTGTACTAGTGCAATCCGTATGTTTCAATATAGGATTAAAATGGTCATAATAAGGGAAAGAAACATAGAAGATCCTATTTAGGAATTTTAAGAGTTTTTTAGACCTATATGGGACAATTTCTTTAATGTAAACTTACAAGGACGGATCTTCATAGGGGGCTAGGGTGGGACTCCAGCCCTGCCCAACCCCATTTTTATAATTAAAGATATCAATTTATAAAAAACTGGTGTTCAGCCCAGCCCAAAAAAATCAAAAGCTTGGTTTATTGAGAGTCCTAAAGATTAATTTAAAATATAATTCATAAGTTTAGTCCTTGTAATTTTTAGCACATCATAATTTCATATGTAATTGAAGATTATATAATAATTTTAAAACAAAAGTTTAACGTGTTAATAGTCAAATATTATACATACTACGTACATATGACCAATTGCCATCAATATGCTGCATCGAAACAATGAAATGAATATTAACCTATTACAAAGTGGAGTTCTATTTTGCCTTGATAGATTTTGGGTGACGGTTTGAACGCTCAATAAACATATTTGAATGTAGAAGTTTAGACTATGCTAGTTAACTAATAAATTAATGTTAAAATTATTCAATAAGTACTCCAATCTTTAATATTCATTAATAAATTTATAAATTGTGATAAGAATTTTAATAAGTAAATATATAACTTATACAATTTATTCCTATAATTTATAGGTGAGTGATAGGCTCGAGTCCGGATTGAACTAATCATCAATATGCTCGAACTCGGCTTGACTAACTATTCGAATTCAAAATCTAGTGCGTGTTCAAGTTCAAAGCTTGTTAAGCTCACATCATTAAATTGGATTTGAAATCAAGATCGAACTTCGAAAAAAGTTCAATTTGTTAACAACTCTAAGCTAAACCTTGTATGTGTAGCAACAATTTTTTTTATGAAAAAAATCGCTAAATAAGATTAAGACAATGACAAAGTTCATAAATAGGATTATTATAATTGTTTTATTCCCGAATTAGGTCTCACCCTCTCCTATTTGGGACCTATTGATTGCGCAACTTGTTCTTCACGATCTTCATGGCTGAGAAAGCTCTTTCCACAGTTGCGGAGGCCACCGGTAAAATCAAAGTTAATTTCACAAATAAAAAACTAATGGAAACACAATGGGGGTGTTTGGCAATTGGCTGTTAGCTGTTGGCCGATGGCTGATTATGTTGGCTGATTAGTAACAGCGAATTATGTTAGCTGTTTTGATTAGCTGCTAGTATTGGCTGTTTATAGAATTGTGTTTGCTTAAATAGCTATTTGTAATCGGCTGGTAACTTGTTGAATGACGTTTAAGGACATCGATTGATTTTTATTTTATTACTAACCACTTATACATATGTATTACACGTATAGTTAATGTTATTAGTCAACAACTTTATTTAATAAAAAAATAATATATTATTAACATAAGTAACAAAAATTACTTTTCTCCTTTGACAAGACAATTAAATTCTTGAAAACCCACAGTGTATATCAACGACGTACAAACATTATACTAGTAGCTTTAGGTTCAGAATTCAGACGGAATACATATTACGGAGTATATATATATTTCTCGTTTAATACCTTGGCAGGAAAGGTCGTATAGTTAATTTGTCATAGGAGATGTGATGATGTGGAAGACGGAGAAGGTGAAAGTCGGGTTACCTTGGCAGAGCTTCACGCTGATTTTTTCTTCTGGTCGTGGGATTTGGAGGAGTGGAAGCGAAGGGACCAGCACAAAAGAAGGGAGGCAGAGTGGGTAGAAAAGGAACATCAGATAGTTATTCGATCGACCAAGAAGTAAACGCTATATTTATTGGCGTTTCTTAATTTGGCTGTTTGGGATAAAAAGTCAAGTGAAAAAGGCATTAACCAAACACTTCTAATCTGGTCAAAAAGCTAACTATTGGTTAAATCAGCCAAAAATTAGCTGTTGGCAACGTAACCAAACACCACCATTTTTTTTTGTTTGAAGAATTGGCATTCCAAGGCAACAAAGTGATTGTTTATACTGTTTGAGCTCAGATAGGAAAATACGTATGCTTATCATGGACATCTTTGAATAAGTGATAAACAAGAAAATTTGATCGTTGGATAACAAGAAAAACAAATTATAGTCGCCAGAAACTTGACAAACGTCTTAATTACACGACTTTCTGCTCAAATTCTGCGAGTTCTGTAGATGGTGTAAGCCAACAGAAGTGGTACCGACATGCTATAAATTGGGAAATGGATAAATGGATTCATGTCATACGCTTTACAAAGATCTCTGCAATTCAGAAAATGATACCAACATATTGCCAGACTTATAATCAGTACTATCTTCCTAATCAACCGCACACGGAGAAGTACGAATCTATATAGTCACCTCTTCCACATGTGGATGAAGATATCTCATTACTCTTCACATCAGAATCTTCTTTTTTCCTAGAAAGTGACCAGAGAGAATCTTGGCATATTCCTCTTTCAACCAAAAATGCTACCATAACCAAGATTGCAGGCAAAACAACAAAACAAAGATGTGGAAGCACAACTACCATTACATCTGGAAACCCAAAAACACTTGGCTTTTCACTTGGCTTTTCATTTGTATTGGATCTCAATATCCAACCTTGATATGTCATGTATCCTCTTTCTCCTTCCATGCGAACTTGGCCACAAAGCCAAGGACATAATATGAGGTAAAACAAGTAAATGACCATGCAATACAATGTATATGTCCACAAGAATCCGGGTTGTGTAGTTTAATAACCCTCTGTTGGCAATCAGTTTTTTATATGTATATTGTTTTCTGAAAAATACTAAGGCAGCTTTTGGAATCCGAAGAATGGATAGGCCCTATCCGGATCCATGTTCAAAGTAGTGGGGGCACATGCCCCCAATAAAACATTCCTAATATAGTATAGTAATATAGAAAAATGTGTAATTTTATGAAAGATTATCTACGCCTATACATAAAAATTTTATTTTTCTTTGGTGTAAATTTAAATTTTTTTACAAATATTTATAACTATATATGGGGATTTTTTTAGTGGTGTCAATTGACACCACACCTCAAAGGGTGGCTCTGCCCCTGCCTACAAAAGGAGACGTACTAGATTGTCGATTGGATTTGTATCTGACATGTTTGCCTAAGGGTTTACAGAAAATGAAAGGGGAATGGCCGAAGTTCTGGACAGTGAATTTTTTAACTTTGCAAGACCATTTGGAGTGGTAATGTATTAGAAGTCCAAAAAACTAAATGTAGATTTTTTAGACTCCTAAATGTGTGTAGTGGGGTATTAAATGGGATATTAAAAGTGGAAAAGAAGATGGAAGGGGTTAAATATAGAGGGTTGGTTTAGAGGAGTGGGAAAAGAAAAAAGAAAGAAAAAAGAAGAGAAAGGACAGATCGGAAGTTGCATTTTTGTTGTAGATGATGCCATGCTAATATCATCTTTGCATCATAATATCCAAAATTTTTAAAAACTTATATATACTACCTCCGTCCCAAATTGAGTTGCAACTTTGACTTTTCTTAATCAAATAGATCTGTTTTGTTCGCTTAATTAGGACGTCAATTTTTAATTATAATCCGATTTGGAGTTTACAACTTTGAAGAGATTTCAATGTAGTTTATGAATATGTAAATTTTAATTATTAAAAATTGAATTAATTATCAATTAGAAGGTTTGACTTTTATTATTGGTTGACCAAAAAATGTTGACTTTGCAAAACAAATTGGGACGGAGGGAGTATAACTTTTTTATTTTCTCCAATTTTTTCAAAATATATATCAAAACCTATAAATTTTTATGCTCTTTCATATGTGATGTGTGTTTTCTCGCACTTAAAATAAATCATAATATAGTGGTGTAAGTACGAGTATCGTCTCCACAGGGACGGACAAAAGGGAATCAAGAATTAGTTAAATACAACGATTAGAAAAAAATAAAATAAAAGCGTCGTGCGAGATTGGTTGGTTTGGAAAATAAAACTAATGCGAACAATTAAACTAGGGGGTTCTTTCTAATTAATGACGAAGGGAACAGGAATCGATTCAGGGGTAACCAGATTTCTGGCAGATCAGACCTAATTACATGAAATTAATTTAATTGAGCCTAGCTAATCATTACTAAGTTCTTACCGCTCTCGCGGCGTAGAGTACAATAATTTAGGGGACTAGGCTGATCTCTCATGCGACAGGATCCTAAATTATTGCCAAGACGAGCGAGTTTACGGTCCCTTAATCGCTACTAATCTCTTAGCGAACGATTAAGTGTGTGTGAATGTGTCCTAAAACAAATTAGATCTCTCTTAATTTATTCTACATGCAATTGTAATTCTAGTTGCGATTCTAGGTTACAAAAGATATCAATTAAATTATTCAAACACAAATTAAACGGCATTCATGCAATTAAACCGAAAAGAATCTAGCCATACATCATGATTAACCCCTTCATCAATCCCAAATCCCTAATTAAAACTACTCACAATTCATAATTGAAGAATCAATAGAATTGGAATAAAAAGAATTAATTGTCATTAATTAAAAAGGTGGAACTTACAAAGAATCCCAAAAGATTGATGAACAAGGCTGAAAAGCCCTCTAAAATTCGTGCTAGGCACTCTCTCTAAGCTCCCCCTTTGAAAACGGGGGTTTACAGACTGTTTAAACAGAAAAATTGGGTGAAATTTGAGCTGAATTAGGATTTTCGGAGCTAGACACGATGCCAGACACGATCGTGCCTCCGGAGCAAAAACGCGCATTTTGGGCAGGCACGATCGTGCCTCCCTCCAGGCACAAT